TTTGTCATCTCTCCCTCTCTGAGATGCTACTGCAGTGCTTCCCAGCAGGCTTGGCACAGGCTTACTCATGGACATCTCTCTTCTGGAGCGATACAGTGGCCAGGCTGCAGCTGCTCAGTGGATACCTCACTGTGTTTCTTTGTTTCACTCTCTGTTTCTCAGTTTCGCTCTGTCTTCGTTGCTCTCCTGTCTTACCTTTCTTTTATTGCTGCCTCTCTCACTCGTCTTCCCACTGTATTTCTTACACATTATCGCCTACTTTCTCGCTTGCATCCTCTCTTGTTTCTCTCCCCCTGTCTCTCATCCTCACTCCGCCCTTCCACATCTCTCTCTCTCTCACATACTCTAGTTGCTACCCTTAAGACTGTGGTTACCATGGTGACAGCTATGTGCTGCGGAAACGTCAAAGAGCTGAATCCACCCAGGATCACTTCCTTGTTTAACACTTAAATTCTTTCTTGCTGTTTCTCCTTGATTTTTAGCAGCTCTCTGTAAATACCAAAAAGTCATATTTGATTTAAATTCATCCATCCATTTGCTCGATTAAATAAATGAGGCAGTGCCTGTGATTTCTAGTCTCTTTCTGTGATCCTGATCTCAGCTGTTGCTGTGCAGAGTCATTAGTAACATTCAGATCGGGAATCTCAGTTGACCTTGGCACAGCTGACCTTGAGAAAATAGCCCCTTCCTCAGGCCTCCAGATGTCACTGACATTGATTTGTGTCGTGTCTCCCCTTAAGGGGGCTTCACCAGCCCACCCAGTGACATAAGTCTTCAGTGTCTCGTCACATGCTTCTCATCTTTTGTCCGTCATTCGTACAGAAAGCCACTTGTACATACACCATGAACACACATGGAAAGCAGCAAGACTGGCAGCATCAAGCAAATTATATTTCTGCTCAGAAACGTGCATTTTACGCAATCTCCTTGGTCTGTACTACAACACACACTACGGCTGGATGAGCAGGTTTTTGTTTCAGTAATCAGTCAGCCTGCCTGTGTTGTTCCAACAACACACCTCAGTGCATGGTCAGCTGAGGGAGCAGATGCCTTGTTAAAAGGTGAATATCAGCAGGTGGGGCTGTTTACTGTCATCTGATGAAGAGGACATTATTTTCACTCTTTTGCACTTTTTACCTATTGTCCTCCCCTTCCCTCTCTCTTTCCCTGCTCCCTTTCTTACCATTTATCCTCTTTCGTTCCTGTTTCTCTGCGTCCTCTCTCTCCCTCCCTGCCCTTGCCTCACCTCTGAGGGTAAAGACTACACATGTGTGTTAAAAGCAGGCACTATCCCCTACTTTAAGTCCCCCCACACCCATATACACTTTGTTGGCAAAAAAGCAGGCAGATGTAAACAACATAACCTAATGGCTGTTTAAAGCCATTATGTCTAAAAAAGATAAACTCTTGTGCCTGTGAAAGGGCAGGAGTGCTGTTGAGCTGCTGAGCAGTATCAATGTGATGATGTGCAGGTATGCTGTTGTTAGGAGAGAGCTGCTCAACTCCATCATACAGGAAAGCTGTCTTTTCTGGGAGCAGTGAGGAGGGATTAGGAGGCAGGCGGAGATGGGGCCTGTGAAGCATTTATGAGCAGGGCATACAAAGGATCCATGTCAAAACTTTTAGGGGTTGGCTCCATTTTTTTTTTTTTTTTTTTTTGGATGTGCTCTTCAAGTCATGCTCCTCCCACACTGGCCCACTGTGCCCCTCCACCTCCAGACCCTGATCCAAGGACGGCCCACGGCTGTTGAAAAACAGCAGATGCTTTCGAGGAGACTAGAAAAAAGAGAAGGAGATTTAGATGCACACGTCCGTGACCATATTTGTGCCTGGGTGTGAAAAATGGAGTTCATTTCAGACTCTTGTTGTACCCTACAATCTCATATAGAGCAGCTCAGCCTTGTTCAGAGCTCATCGCACAAACTTGTGGACAAATATACAACCTAATTTTCCTACATTGCGCAGTCTACTATTACGCTCTCTCCGTTCCCTTTTTGTGTGTGTTTGCATGCAATTTTGCATATCCTTGTTTTATGGAACACTGGCAAGTTGGACACAGTTGTGGAAAGTAGTGATCATAAAACTCTAACATTTTTGCTTCCATATTGATAGACTGCAAATTTTCAAATTTGGTCACAATTCAACAAGTTTGCCAAAACTTTGAGACAAGTGCTTCACATGTTCACCCTATTCCCAAAGTGCCAATGCTCCTACAGTTATGTGCCATATACCCCCATTACTCATATCAGCTACTCTTATATTTCACTGCTTTGTATCTTGTGTGGCTCTGCTTGGAGCAACCCTGTGTCCTAAAATTTCAGTTTCTATGTAACTAAGCTGCGACAGCAAATATGTTTTATACTCAAAGTTATTGTGACCGACTTACATTTTCAATTAACAGAGTGAGTAAATGTTGTTAATCTACACAAACGCAAATACTTCAACACACCAGCTGTGTCAGTAAAATGTTCACAAACAACGTATGTGTCCCACAATATCCGATCTTGCTATACAACATCCAGTGATTACAGCATTATTAAACGTTTTTATGGTTATGTTTAGGCACTCACAGCACGTGGTTGAGGTTAGGGAAAGTTTATGGTCTGGTTTAATACAGAAAATGTTCACAATGACTTCAGACAGAACATGTTAATTTACATGTAACCAAAACCACGCTCTTTCGCTAATCTTAACCGAAGCGCTTTTGTTGCCTAAACCTAACCACAGACGGGACTCTGGACGCAAACCCCAGTCTCTGCTGTGACAGTCGTGGACTTTGTTCAACATCCGTCCCCCCCAGCCACCTCCTGGCAACTCCGCTGCAGTTGATGAATGTAGCGCTCCAGTCAGACAAAAAGCGTATTGCGTCTGAACATAATCCACCCTGAAATTACGAATTTGTTGTCGCAGTTTAGTTGTATAGTGGCGTAATTTTTTTGGAGACAGGGTTGTCTTGAAGACAATCGCGGGATCTTGAAGGAGCACTGTGAGAGAATGTTGTGAGAAGCACAGAAAAACGACCACATCTTGTTCTAAATCTAAATCCCATCAACCCGAAAGTCACATTTCTTTTGTCCTGACGTCACAAATAGGCCTACTCACCTTTCTGACACATACATAAACTACATGCCCACCCACAGACTCACAGGCCTGGGAGCGAGTCTCATCTTGTAGAGTAGTAGGGGAGGAAGTGAGTGTTGAGATTGGGGGGGAGATAGGGCGGTAGGGCAGCAGCTCTCTGACACGCCGTAGCCCCTGCCAGTCCTCACTTACCTCTGCTGACAGATTAGATCATCGAGAACAACCTCTGGGAGGGCAGGCGAGAGGAAAGAGCAGTTCATTTCTGAACTAGGAAAAGCACTACACTGGACCTGATTGACGTGTCAAACCTTGGCCTTGGTTTGACCTCTTCAGTCTTGTTACCCACAGATGAGACTTAGGCTATTGAGTGCGCTGACCTGTTAAGACACGACCCTTCTGCTGCCCCTTCCAATCCCTGGTGCTGACGCCTCCTCCCAAGTAACGTCAAGAATCCTCTGAGGGCTGGAGTGAGAAAAACCTCGGGAGGGCCCTGCAGATGACTCATCTACTGATTCTTCTTTTTTTTTAAAAGACGAGTTTCACTGAGAGTCGCTCTGCTGTTGTCTCAACGTATTTTATTTTCTTGCCACTTAGGAGGACAGTGAAGTTCAGTCAGCATGAAATTAGAAAACCCTACTGTGATATAAAATAATACTGCGATCATCATGTAGTTAAAGTTTTGGCTATGTCAAATGAAGATAAACAGATTAGCCGCAGCGTTGTTGTTGAAGTAATGTTTGCATTAGATATTGTTTCGCACAGATGAGTAGAATATCCTCTTATTGTATTAAAGCCAGGCAGGGCGTCATTCTGTACTCAGTGCTGTCCTACCTTTATCTCATGTGTCTCTCCTTGCCCTATTTTCCTCTGTGCTTTGAAACTGTCTGAATACATTGAAAAAGCTGAAGGAAAGGTGACCTGCCCTCTCACCTTTCAGAATGAAAAATAATGGATTTTTATCATATTGCTTTTTATTGCAAGTATAACAAAGCTTATATAAAAGCTTGTTGTAATGGTTATAAATCCTTACTGCTGCGTGGACATTGATGAAACCTGGCTAACACTGATAAGTGTGAGAGAGAGATACAACCACAGACATGCTGGAACTTGCCTGTAGTGCTGAGGGGGGAACTGACAGACAAAAGAGGTGAGGAAGGGGAGCAGCTAGGGAAGCCAGAGATGATTTTGTGTAATTTTGCAAGAAGCAGTCTGTCACAGATTGTGATCTGAAATTCTGCACCTCACACACCACTCTCCTACACATATCCACAGAATCTGTGCCCAGGAAATCTGAACCAGATGTGAAGTGTTTTGGGACCCCGACATCAACCTGGCAAGGGCAGGTCTCTGCCTGAATTATCTGGGTGGGGTCAGCAGTGCAGAGGGGACAACTTAACTGGTCTCGCTCCACTTTTGCATGGGCCATTACAAAGGAGAAGATGCTCACGGGGGAGAGGAAACAGAGTTGGCTACAAGCAGGGCCACGGAGCATGACTGGGCCAGCTTCAGATTTTTTTGTGGACTCCTTGGGACCAGTCTCTCTCTGTCCTCAGTTGTGGCCCCGCAGCCGTAACTGAGGACAGAGCCACTGCTTATCTGATAGATCCAGTAAGGGAACAGTTGATTGCCTTAAAGCAATGGGAAATGCCTTGCTGGCTCCCCTCCCTCTTTCTTCCCTCCCTCCCTCTGTATTCTCTCACTTTTCCCCTCTTAGTTTCTTGAGCAGTGCCTCTCTACCTTTCTCTCCCTATTTTTCTCCCTGCTCCCTCCCTCCCTCCCTCTCTCTCCCTCTCCCTCCCTTCCTCTCCCTCTCTCTCCCTCTGCCCTGCTGTGAGTAGGTGGTTCCTTGCTGTACTTGATTGGTGTGAGTCTATATAGGAGGAGAGACGCTCTAACAGACTCAGAGTCTGGTGGTGCCCACTTGCCACACGTTCCCAACAGGACTACCTGTTTTTTTTTCTCTGTCTTTTCCTGAGAGGATTTACTTTGTTCTGACAGCATGACGGAGAGCAAGAGGAAAGATAAGAAAGGGAAAAAGAAGGGGGTTAGGAAAGGACAAAAGGAGAAAGAGGCCGATCCCACTAAAGGTAAAAGTAAATTAAAGGTGGTTTCTGTGTAACATATACATTTATGTGTGTATTTATGTGTGTGAGAGAGAGAGAGACTTGGAGAGAAAAAAAAGTGAGATTAAGTTTGTGATACTGTGTTACGGAAGTGTGGGACCAAGCAAGTAAGTATCCCCTTGGCTTGTCAAAGCTTGCTGCCAGGTTGTCACATGTATTGGTCTTCTAATGTGGACAGCGTGTAGAGGCACATCTGGCTTTGCCAGCACTTTGGAATCGCAGGGAAGTCAAATGTGATGTGTGTACACAATCAACAAAAACTTTAAAGGCAAGAACCTCACTGAGCCAAAGTACAGTTGTATTAAGAGCCCTCTGAAAACTAACGACTGTGATAATAACTGTGATTTAAAGGTTTTCGTTAATTTATCGCATGATCACATCTTCACAAATGCTCCGCCACATATTACAGGTTTGGAAAAAAAAAAAAGTTAGCTTTTCTTTTACTGTTTTATCATTAAAGTGATGTTTGTATATGAGAATATATCATTTCACCAGGGACTATATGACTGTATTAATAATTGAGGAGTTGCTACAAAGTTTATCTTAATTCTGAGTCTGTGGTTAGTCATCCAGCATAAATGCCTGTGTGTATGTGTTTTTGCTGGAAGCTACTTTGACATTGGAAAAGCATGGGAGCTACTTGTCTCCCAGTCACTTACGTAGCAATGTGCTTGCTCAGTGGTGGATCCTACAAGCTGCAGCATGTCACTGTAGTTTGACCTCAGGTCATGGGGAAGCCCAACCCCCGTTTCAGTGACACTTTGAGGACAATACCATAAATATTGCTGAAGCCACTATGTTTGATTTTTGGTTTGATCAGATACTGTATCTTAGACAGCATCTCTTCATGTTGGTAGCCATTTTGTACCTGCTGATGTCATTCTGGTCAGCTTCCAGCAGATAACCCAAGAGACTGGGTTTAGCAAAGATTTTTTGTTTTGATAGAAGATGCTTTGTAGGCCTTGTAGTTATATAAATGGCTTCTTTTTCAGTTTACATGTGCTACTGTTGTTGATTTTGGCATTTGTGGTCAATTTTCTTGTTTTATTACCCATACAAACTTGAATATATAAATAATTACTGATCCTCATTCCAAGTTTGATTGTGATCTATAAACACGTAAGATAAACAGCTCCCCAAACTACGCTGGACAAAGAGTGCTTGCAGAATGTTTTTTGGCATCTTTGTTAATCAACAAGTACAGCTGCTGTACACATAGAAAAGAGCTGCGTGTCATGAACATATTCTGGTTTATCTTCTCTGCTTTTCACGAAAATCAACCATGCCAGTCTATGCCTTGAATTTAATCAATATGCATTAAAAGTTGTAACTGTAGGTCTTTGCTGCTGTTGTTCGTGTCAGTTTTAAATGTACAAGAGCATGAGAATCTAATCTTTAATCATCATTTTCCCCTACGAAAATTAGATCTCTTATTGATTTGTGACAAAACTGGGTAAATGGGTAACCTGTGCGAAACTATGTGCTTATCCATTGTGAAATCGAGCTTTCAAAGTAGGTCAAAATTAAGACATGCTCATGGGTGATGCTTCTTGTGTCTGCACTACTGGTACATGCACCACATCAGGTGTGGTCTGTGCCTGACACTCCAAAATGGGTCATCCATGATAGAAAGAGAAAGGGAGAATCTTCTACTCATTATTTCAGACTGATCATGTTCTTTAATAAATGTTGCCAGCTTGTAATTTTCCATAAGTGACATGATTTCATAGAGGATGTGGTTTATCAATAAATCATGTTCAAAAGAAGTCATCATTTGCAAATGTCAAAACAAGTCTGTACAACCAGATGTGCAGCTTTGTGTGATCTACGTATTAATTACAAATGAAGTAAAGTTGTAGAACTGTATACAGCATCAGAACAGTATGCTAGCTTCCTTGTTGTCTGCTTACTTCAACAGAAAATCAAAGAACCTTTAGCTAGCTAACTTGCTTCGCTGGTATGCTATCTCATCAGGGCAACATGTCGTGAAATATGCTCCAACAGACAACTGTAGATTAGCGCCTGACTTTCTGTATTATGGCAGTCCATATATATCCACCAAAATATATGCGATAGTTTAATACAATTTTCATGTTTGTCGCACAAAAAGTTTCCTTAGAGTTGCATTTTGACATGTGAGGGTCTACGTAGAGGAAACCAAAAAGAACTTATGATCAGGTTTGTGTTTAACAGTTTGCTGGATCCACGGATGGTCTCAGAGCTTCCATAGGCACAACTGATTCTTTTTGAGATTTTCCTCCACTAAAAAACAACCCTACGATTCCTCTCTGTAAGTGTCTTTTTACGACTTACAGGTGACCCTTAGCGCCCATGCTAATTACGATGGGAGCAAAAATCGGGTGATGCAGTATAAAGAGCGACAAAGTCCACATTAGGACAAAGTTTGGGTGGATGGATGGATTTTGACACAGGGGACTGTTGTATGATTACCATTTCAAACCAATAGTCATCGTTGTTTCCTTTTACCATGGCTGTTCCACATTACTACATGTTTAATGTTGTAACCATGACAACAACCTATATAATACTTCAGTACTTGTTGTAGCTTAAATCATGATCTTGCCTTAAACCCTATCTAAGCTGCTGTTGTGCCTAAACTTGTGACTGTTCCATTAACTTAACCGCATGTTTATTATTGGAACCATGATGGTGAAGGTGCGGTGCGCTTTCCACCGTGGGGGTGCTATTTCATGAGACGCTCCCATGGGTCGTATCAGGGGGGCCATTCAGATTGGAGGACTCTTTCATATATTTTTTTTCATTTCCTGTAGTTGTGGCTGCATGTATGGCTGTCTTATAAATGTATTATTGAAATGCCATTGAAATTTATTTCAACTTTTTCAAGATGTTAATTCAGCTCAACCTTTAATGCATCAGTGCAACAGTATGCTGCATTGTGGATAATGCATTATACAAAGTACTATCTGTGCGTGCATGTGTAGATGTGCTTGTGTGGATGAGGTGTGTAAAAATGTAATTCATGGAATATAGCCATGAGTGATCTTTTGAGGCTGTTTACTGTAAGTCAACCATCACCGACATCACAGAGGACAGTATCGTCTTGTGTGCCTTCTCTGAAAATTCAGTTCTGCACATTTATTTAAGGAGATTACCTAACAGCAGGTATTTCTCAGCCATAATTGCCTTTTCATTGGCTGTGACGTCTTCAGCATTTGGACCAGAAAGTATTTCAAAGTGTTGATTTAGGGTATACCCCTGCTGTAATGTTACATGATGATTTCCTTTCACGTCTCTTTTTTTGAAAGCTATGTGTATTGTGGCTGAAAGTTGACACTCTTTAAAGAATGTTGCATGACTTTTCTAATGAAACAGGCCAAAGACTTCTGAGCCAAAATTTTGTTCCTTTTTGGCAAGAGAAGACACTCAAGAGAGGGAAAACCTGTGCAACTTTCTAATCTTTCATATGAATAATATGAATAAGACAAGAAGAGCAAAATGCTACAGGCATTTCATCAAATCTTTCATCAATGCAATGCAATATGAATGTATGTTTTATCTTTTTTCAAGTAGTAGCTAGAAATCCCTGTACAGTCTGCCTGACCAAATTTTGCCATTGATTATACATTATAATTCACAAACTTCTACCATCCATTCTAATTTATATCAAGCCAAAACACAACAAGTTGCTTTCTGTTTGAATGGGTTTGCTTGCATTGTAAGGGTGATAATAATTAGTTACGGAAGTAAAGAGTTAGCTCCTTCATTGTGTGAGAGATCATTTTTATCATGACCTAACAGCTACCACACCTTTGAAATAGAGCTACTTAGATTATTTAGCAACAAACTGTTTATAGACACCAGTAGTCAGGGGAGGTGGTGTTGAAGCCTCAGACAACCTCAGTTTCCAATTTTGGTGTGATCGTGCTCCATATAATTGCTCTTACAAAATTGCTTTTTGGTGTGCTGCTACTAGCAACAACTTGAAAGAGGAAAACAAATCAGACAGGCAACTAATAAAACCTCACTCTTTAAACAACTGACCTATACATACAGTGGTAAAAAGCCTATAAAACACCAGGACATTTGTGCATAGACAAGACCCTATTGTTTCTTCTAAGTTCACTATCAATGATAATCTCAAAACATGGCTAATCAGAACCATATAATTGCCAAGCAAAGACAGGTCTTTTGAAGGGTGGTTCTCAAAGAAAACTTATAATTTGAAAGCAATCTTCAGATGAATATTTTGAAATTACTGGTTCACCAAAGAGCTTCCATGTCATGTCATGGCACAACCCTGTCTCCTGGAAAATTTACATTTGTATAATGCAAAATTGTATTCCCACTTATGTTGTAATTATGTAGTCACGTAATCGCAAATGGATCACGTTCAGAGGCAATGTTTTTTTTGTTTGGTTTTTTTATTTTTTTTAAATCATTTAAAGCGCTACATTTATGAAGTGTGATAGTTGGTAGAAGGTGGTTGGGGTGGACAGCCGGTGTACAAAGTCAACAACCGTCACACCAGAGAACGAGTTTCGCACAGTCCCGTCTGTGGTTAGGGTTAGGCAGCGATAGCACTTTGGTTAATGTTAGGGAGAGATTGTAGTTTTGGTCAAATGTAAATAGTCCCTGTGTAAGCTAACCACAAAAAAGTTTAATAATGCCGTAGTCACTACAAGTGGATATTATACTGTAAGAGCAGATATTTTTGCAGAAAACAATAATTTGGTCTCTGAAAATTTTACTGATACATTTGGGATAAATATTTTTGCAATTTACCAAATACGTTAATTAAGATTGCCTCACAATGTTCATAGGAAACGTAACCAAGTCTGATTTACCTTTACTTCAAAGCATATCTGTTGCTGCAAATTAGTTGTATGTAAATCTAATTTCTAGGAGACTGTGTTCGTTACAGTGTAAATTACGTTGTAAGTGTCCCACTTGCTTGCATATTTAGTTACTTTACTTTACCAAGA